TCCAAAAAAGGCAAAGGAAACCCCCGGGGACAAACCCCCTATTTCAAAAAAATTTGGTCCAGTGATTGAGGGGGGGGGGGGGGGGGCGTACTCGTGTTCTGCATGCCTTAGCGACTAGCCATTGACCACGGGTATTAGGGGAGAAGGGGGGTACTCATACTCGTGCATGTGCGTAGTCGTTAGACCACTGACCTCGCATCCCTACAAAGCTGGGACGGAGCACGCCGGGTTCTCAACGGACCAGGCTCTCACACCAAGCGACGGGTATTGGGGAGGGGGGGGGTGGGGGTGTACTCAGGGTCGTGCATGCCGTAGTCGTTAGACCATTGACCTCGCATCCCTACAAAGCCGGGACGGAGCACGCCGGGTCCTCACCGGACCAGGCTCTCACATCACCAAATAAGCGCGAAGCGCTGTGAGGTATTCGGCGAGTCGCATGAAGGGTGAGCTGCATCCTGCTAAGGGTGTTCGGCATCTTGTGCTTACTTCCTTTGCGTACGGATGACAGCTGCGTATGACTTAATTTATTTTCTGGTGCTTTCACTTCCAGAGACAGTTGTAAGCACTGTGGAACTGCCTCGAGGATGCTTGACCATTTTAACACAACGTCGTGCGATCACCCCCTTTGCGCGGAGTGAGGCTTCTTGACCCCGCACAACATAATCTACGCCACCACCATTATGGTTACCGCCAACCAAAAAAAAAAAGGTAAAAAAAAACGGTAACCTGGTTGCCGAGTTCACGAAGTGAATTGGCTTGTTTTACAGAGTCGTTGCCAAGTGACGAAAACCCAAACCCCGAGGGCAAACCCCGGGGGGTTGGTGGGGGGGGGGGGTATAAGGGTAAGGACGGCATGGTCGTTTGCCTCTCTGTTCAACAAAGCGTTACCATCCACCACTCACACACTACACCCGGAGCGGGGAGCCAAGGGGTTGTAGTGGGACGTGTACGGCAAAAGCAGGGATCAACGTTGACTACTCCCCGAGAAGCATTCAGTCCCTGCGTGCATCTATCAATCGAGAAAAAGAAAAGCCTACTCTAAATGAAACGCTGTCGGGGCATTCTGCAGACAAGGCGGAAACCCATGGCGCGCAGCATCAAGCAGGTCCAAAGCGAAAAAATGCGCGTCAAAGTCAATATGCACGTCAATGTTTTGGGACTTGTAGACTAAAAATGTACCAAACACAGCAGCAGCCCAAAAGATGACGGCCAAAAGCCTCATATCACGATGAAAAACAGCACACACAAAGCTGAAACAACCAAAATTTTCAGAACCATGCCCAGGTCAGAAAGGGAGAACCACGAAACCAACAGCCGCGACGGCGGAGCAATGCGCCAAGCCCTGGCTCACCATGTGCGACATTCTCGGCACGCCTCCGCCACCGCCGCCGGCAAACCCGGACAAAAACGTGCCGCCCCCACCGTTGCTGCCGCCGCCACCACCGCTGCCGCCGCCGCCGCCGCTGCCGCCGGAGGCCTGCCGGACGAAACGTGATCGACGTCGTTGTTGGTGCGAGCGGGGGGGGTGGGGGGGGAGATGAGTACGGTAACAGGAAGGCAAGAAGGCCGGTTGGTGGTACGGCCAACGTCCGTTGATGCTGGCCTTGAAAATGTTGACCTTCGCTTGTCGTGTGAGCCGCGTCATCTCTTCCATCATCACTCATGTTGCGTTGGCTTCTGTCACCAGGGACGAGAGAACGCGCGGCCCACAACCCGTGCACCGTCAGGCTCACCCAGGACCATAGATACCCAAGGTAGTGATGATTGTTGAGAAATACCCTCTCCAAGTGTGAAGCAACACGGCATCTACAGTATCTCTGTTTTGCCCTCTATCTCTCGTTTTGGAATGTTCTCTCCGTTGTTGTTTGTTGTTGTCGAAGGTATTGTGGTCTTCGTGGTTGGTGCAAAACGTCTTGCTGCCTATCGTTGCTGTTGTTGTTGTTGTGTTGTCGTTGGTGTTATTGACCCTCTATTGACCCTCTAGCAGCCGCTCAGGTATGACGAGCACGCCTTCCGTAGTAACTCCCTATGCATACGATGCCTGTACCCAAAAAGGGCACACCATGAAAAATGCTCCCTTGTTTTCTCTTTTTGGTTCACTTAAGACAAGTTCTCCTGCGAAGGCTCGCGAAAGGGTACCCTTTAAAAAATGTTCTGTCTTTTCTATCTTTTTGGTTCGCCTGAGACAAGTTCTTCTGCGAAGGCCCTTCCTGTAGAAATTGTTCTGTTCTGTTTTTTCTCTTTTTGGTTCGCCGGAGACAAGTTCTTCTGCGAAGGCCCTTCCCGTAGAAGTTGTTCTGTTCTGTTTTTTCTCTTTTTGGTTCGCCTGAGACAAGTTCTCCTGCGAAGGCCTTCCTGTAGAAATTGTTCTGTTCTGTTTTTTTCTCTTTTTGATTCACCTGAGACAAGTTCTCCTGCGACGGCCCCCCCCCCTGTGCCGATGCCAGGAGATTTCTAAGCTTGGCAACCTCCGCCTCCAACTTCAAGCACATGTCTCGCATCACCAGGTTGTCTTCCTCCACCTGGGTGGCAAAACGTCGGATACCACATACACATGGAACGAATAGCGGTTAGTACTCTAAAAAGGCGTACATACCACTCTTTGGGTACAATAGTTGGCTTCTGACCATGGAAGGCGTCCGCGATAGTTGGACCGGTACGGACGTTGGAAGGTACAGTGCTGAACGGAGACCGGAACGGTTTATTAAATGTGTGAAGACAACAACAACAACAACAACAATAACAACAAAACCCTCCACCATCGATCAATCGGCTCTGTGCATGGCGGGTGTGGCGGGATTCCAATCGGGGTTCTCTTCGACCAAAATCAGAGATACCACAAACACATCAAACAGCGGTGTGTATCCTCAATGATCGACCAATCACCTCTTGCGGGATGCGAACCCGGGTTCTCTTCCACCAAAATCAGAACAAACATTTCGCCGTGATGCTAGCGTGAAACAGTTGCAAAGAGGGGATCAATCGTCTTCTCGATAGACAGACAGACAGACAGGCGTTGGGGAGAGTGTATTTATGTGCCCTCCTACGAAGGGGGTCTATCTCCACGTTTGCACGTGACAGATCGTCAACAAGATCAAACTAACTGCCATGCGGCTACGTTTCCAGTCGCGACATCATATACTGACGCAGCGTCCCCACTACCATCTGTTTACGAATGTAGATATGGCATTTATTTACTATGGTGTAGAATGCTGAGATTGTGTTGTTGGAGTCGGAGGAGCTGGTTACCGTAGGTTGCACAGGATAGCGCGACCCCTGGACCGATTATTAAAGCTCGAATACTCTGCAGCTAAAACGGTGACGGTACCGAAAATGGCGTTAGGCGTTGGAACCGTCTCATCGAGAGCCTTCCG